TTTTGTGTCTTTTTTCCAACCCAAGTGTTTCAACACAGTTATGCAGCTAGAAATAACTTGTAGAAAACTAGAGGAAACAGTAGGAGAACATCTAACTGATGCAACCTCATTCCATGGCTTCTTTTCATTCCAAAGGCAACCATCTATTCTTTCACCATCAATCAGGAATAGAACCAGGCCGGGTTGTAGCACAGATGGTTAATCACCAGCAGCAATATATCACAGCCAACCAAAAAGTGGCAAGTTTGAAGCCTGAGTCAGATTAAGCACCGACTGCTAAGCCTAGCTTACGGTCCATCTAAGCAGTTTGAAAACAGCTGACCTATGAGTAGAGAAATTAGGGACCACTCAAAGTGGGGAGGTATTTTTCAACATCATAAAAATGCTGGCAATCAAATAACAAGGAGGAAATATGATCAAAATGACTTGGCATCATACTGGATGAAGCAAAAGAACCCTCTGTGGCTGGAATCAAGCATAACCTCCAGGCATCTAAGTTGAAATGCCAAAATACTTCTATCTGTCTGTCTGTCTTGTATGTCGTTGAATGTTTGCTATGTATGTGGGCATTGTGTCCTGCCCTGAGTCCCCTTCAGGATGAGAATGGCAGAATATAAATACTGTAAATAATAAACAGAATGATGTTCTGTTTGCCCACCAAGTCCAGTCAGCCCTCTGCATTTGTAGGTTTATCTTTTGCAGATTTGATTAATATGATCTCTCTAGAAATCCCCAGGTCCTCCAGTCTGACTATTTGTCAATTTTCAGTGAAAATTCTGCTGGCAGTTGACCGTAAAACTACTCTGGAGAATCTAGAGATTCCTAGAAAAGGTATTATCTTAGGTAGAAAAGAATAGCATTTTTAATTCACGTTTCCCTTGCTTTCATTGAGATCCTGTCTCCCTAATCCCAGTGAATGCAGAAGGTTGTCTGTATCTTCGTAATAGTAATGGGAAGGGGGGAGGCAAGGATAAGCTTTCACAAACATCAATCAACTTGTCATTCACATTTTAAGAATGAAGTCTTACAGATTGTAGATTTCAGCAAGTTTTTTTCATTTTTTTCACACTTCCATACTTTTCTTTTGAAAAGAATTTACGCGTACAATACTGCAAAACGAACATTTTATACCATCTTGAATCCAACTATCTTTTGATATTTTTTTTACTATTACGGCAGTCTCCCACTTACACTTTTGTTCTCTTATTCTTCTTGAGAAACATGTAATTTGGCAGTTTTACCAACGCAGCACACTTTTCATCTTTTCTTTTTGCTGGTGTAAGCAGCCAGCTTCAGGCCCAGCTTCAGGCCTGAACTCACCAAACTGCAAACCTGCATCTTCAAGGGGAGTATAACCTCACATAACACAGGCCGAACCCAGATTCCCAGATCAGCCATTTGACCATTTTCTTTCAATTAAACTTTGATTTGTTCACTCTCATCCTATCTATAGGGTACGGCAGCATAACTTCCTTTTTTAAAATGCGCACCATTGAGTTGGTTGAAGACATAGTGGTCTCGTTCGAGAGGCGGGAGTATAAAGTTTTGTCCTGACACAGTTCAGTCGCCATCATGCGTTGGAACAGTGAGGAGTGTGCTTTTGCCGTTGAGGCCTACTTTTCAAGCGGATGTTCTGTGATCGCAACCCAGTGCACCTTTCGGAAATGCTTTAATTTAGCCCCATTGGCCCCTGTTCCGGACCGGAAATCAATTGTGACGTGGGTCACTACATTCAGACAAACTGCAAGTGCGAAAAGACGAAGCACTGGAGTCCCTCGGCCCATTAGATCACCTGAGAACATTGAGGCAGTGAGAGCTTCAATGTTGTGATCACCATGGCGTTCTGCCCTTGGACTTTCTGATTGTTCTGTGAAGAGAATTCTTCATGATGATCTTCATTTCCATCCGTACAAGATGACGATTGTGCAGGAACTTTCTGAACGTGACTTCAATTCTCGGAAGAACGCGTGTGAGGTTCTTCTCGAAGTCATTCCTGAGGACACTATTTTTTTTATTTTTTTTAGTGATGAAGCCCATTTTCATTTGTGTGGATCCGTCAACAAACAAAACATGCGCTACTGGGCTGACAATCCTCGAGAATTGCATCAAAGGCCTTTGCATTCACCTAAAATCACAGTGTGGTGTGCAATTTCCTCAGCTGGAATTATTGGTTCCTGGTTCTTTGAGGTAAATGAAGTTGCAGTGACAGTGAATTTGGACCGGTATGTAAAGATGTTACAGGATTTTTTTCCCCTACAGCTAGATGGGTTGGACTTAGGGGACATTTGGTTCCAACAAGACAGTGCAACTGCACACACTTCAAGAGCATCGATGGCTGTTTTGAGGGAACACTTCCCAGAGCGCCTCATCTCAATTAGGGGGGATTTGGAGTGGCTGGCCCGCTCTCCAGATTTGGCCCTTTGTGATTTTTTTCTATGAGGTTTTTTAAAATCCCATGTTTATGTGAACTGTCCAAGGACCCTACAAGATTTGAATACCAACATCTAGGAAGAAATTGTCAACATAATGCCTGCTATGCTGGTAAGAGTCATGACAAATGCCAGAAATCGGTTTACTCAGTGTATGGAGAATGGGGGACGTCACTTACCTAATTTGATCTTCAAAACTACGTAAAACAAAACTTTAGGTATGCGCCTACATTATTAAAAAAAATCTGATTCATACAATGGGTTTTATTAAGATTTGAAAAAAGGAAGTTATGCTGCTGCACCCTGTATTATAGATACCAGGCCCTCATTTAGTTCCTTGGAATTTATAAAACTGGGTTTCAGCATACTGGTGAGGTGAAACCTGATCCCAAAATCCCAGACAAAACCCTTCCAACGTTTCCATTTAGAACTCTAAGTGACTCCACAGGTCGAGTCAAAAAAGAATCTAGGAATCAATGGAACCATTGCAGAACAATTCCTCCAAACTCCATTTGAGTAAATCAATCCAGAAGGACAATATAATTGATAGTACCAAAAGACACTAAGATCCAACAGTATAAAGAAGGAGAAATTCAAGCAAAAGAGGCAGGAGTTCCAGGGGATGGACATGGTGCCTTTGGGGTCTTTCAAAGTTCCCAGGCTACTCAGGGTGCTTCCAGACAATGCCAAAATGCAGGTTTTGGAAGAGAGGAAAAAAACGGAACTTCAGAGCTGGTCCCACAGAGACCTACCAGTCCTGGGATTTCTTCCCTCACCATCCTCAATGGTCTCCCTTCTGTGTCTTGGGATAAAATGGAGGGCAGAAGGCGGACATCTACTGGAAGTTTTTTTTTTAGCCAACTATGGTAATGTGCTGATCCATATATGCACATGTGCACATATCTTAATATAATAAATACAAGCATATTTGCAAGTGCACATATGCAAATCAGTGCATGACAGAGGGAATTAAAAGAAAACTCCAGCTGGATTTCTCCCTTCCCCTAATTATTTATTAAAATCTGTTTACAGTGTTACAGTGTTTACAGTGTTAAATAAAGAGATTCAGAGAGTTCGACTGACTCTCCATTCATGCTTCCTTTCAATCAGCTGTGTATCTGTTTGAAAGCCCAATCAGCTGATCAGATGTTTTGGGCTTTTTCAGAAGGATAGAAATCAGCTGGAGTAGTCTCCACAGGGGGAAGGGAAGGAAAACATGTGTTTTTGGCATGTAGGGTCAAACAGACATAGGAAGATGTGCATCTTTCAGCCAGAAATGGGATAAAAGGGGACTTTTTTACCCCACAGTTTCCCTCAATTGGTATGAATCAGCACTCAATTAGCACTGACATTATCTAGCCACCTCCCTTTTTTGAAACGAGAACTCTCGTGTTTGAGTCCTGACTGGATGGGCCCACAATTGATATTATTCAGCTGGAAGGTAAAACTACCTGGACCTAACAAGCTGTTCTCACACCTGAAGCTGTGTTTGACCAACCAGACTATATACAAAACCATTTCCCTGTGTTCCAATTCCCCTATTCATTTTATCTTTTTCTGTTCACTACAATAAAAATACACCAGCCCAAATTCAGATTCAAATCACCTCCCAACAAAGGATTCCCCCAGGCAGTAAGAAGCCAGTCCTTGAAACTTGATTAAATGCTAATCAAGGTGACCAACTGAAATATTCACACCTACCTCAAACAGACAAGAGTTCTTTCTCCCACCCTAGACATTTCACAGATATATAAATCCCATTTTCCTAGTTTCCAACAGACCTCACACCTCTGAGGATACCCGACATAGATGCAGGCAAAACGTCAGGAGAGAATGCTTCTTGAACATGGCCACTCAGCCTGGAAAACTCACAACAACCCAGATTCTAATCAGTCATGCATATGCTAACTGGTTCAGCACATGGCTGCCCACCACAAACAACAAGAAGTCTCCAATACAAGCCCACATTTTGAACTTGTAGAATTACATAAAAAGACTATCCTGGTTCTTGTTGGTGGCATATAGATGTGTTAATATAAGGTTACATGGACCTAAATTGTTGTGTAGGGAGCCATTCAGTTGCTTCTTGCACAACATCTCCTCTCATTCCATAAACCAGCTGTGAAAGGCAGGTACACACTTCTTTGGCCATTTAGTCCCTTGAGAAACCTACAGGGTGCTCTGGCAGCATCGTGCTACTACTGGTAGTATTCAAATACTCTAGTATTCAAGATAGTACTAAATGGAGTACACATGGAAGGGTACACCTGCAGTTCAGTCTCAGCTACAGATGTGCCACCAGAAGCTTCCCAATTACCTTTTGCTCTTACCTAGCCTATGGGAGAATATGGCTATGGGAGAGTATGCCATTAAGTCTTTCATCTTCAAGTATCAATAGTCAGAATGGAACAGCATGAGTGGGCCCTTCCATCATGTCCCACTCCATAGGACTTAGGAACATAGTGTATGTCTCCAAAGACTTGTTTCTTCATAAAAGTCAAAGAAGTTTTTTTTTCCTGCACAGAGAGTGGATATAGGTTTAAGTTTTAATTTCACCAAAAGTGGACCTACCTTCGTAGTTTGCTTGAAATCCTTGCGCACTGACGGCATAGTCGCTGACAAGCCACAATGACAGCACCACTCCAGTACTGACAATGGGAGGAGGCAGTTGGAAACCCGTTAACCTGAAAGAAACACAAAAGGGACAACATTATTTGTCGGTGCTTTGGGGAAAAAATCCCAGTTTAAAGTAGAACACCCAGAATCCCCCAACCAGCATGACAGGAAAACTTGCCACATTTAAAATATGCATTTATAAATGGGTTTCACCTCAAAATATATCATTCTGAAACCATTCCCCATAGGGGTTTAAAGAAAAGAGCTGCTTTAGGGCATTTGGGAAATATAAAAGTCAGTTCCTACCCACATTTTAATTTGGGGAGGTGGAAATCTTGACAGTTCAAATTTGGATTTACCAAGACTGGATTTGTTGAGCAAAAACCTCTATAGACTCCTTAAACTATTGGGTGTAGATTTTGGGTCTGCAGACTGAACTGGGCTAGAGAGATAAATGATGTGTCAACATAGGTGGCATCATATAAAAGTAAGCAAAAGTCCAGTTCTAAATTTCAGTTAATAATATATAGTCAGAATCTTGCTGGTTAAACCCAGCTAGAGTAGACCAATCTATTCCTTTATTTATTTCCCACCTTTCTCCCAAACTGAGACTCAAACCAACTCATATATAAATAACTAGCTGTCCCCTGCCATGTGTTACTGTGGCCCAGTAATGAGAAGGTATTTATTTCTAATATATGCCATGTCTTTATGCTTGTGGATAAACAGTATTTCTTGCTGTTTCTTTGTTGTCAGTGTTGCTGTGAAGATTGTCCGGTTTGCCTACTCTGGAACATGCAGCATATCATTGTCCTTCTTTAGGGGTCCCTTTCAAATCTATGATACTATATCTCTCTGTGTGTGAATCATATATATCTACCTATATCTATGGCTAGATGGCTCTTTGTCAGGAGGGTTTTGATTACATTTTCTTGCCCTGGTGAAGGGAGTTGGACTGGATGTCCTTAAGTATTTTATGTTGGTCATGGGGGTTCTGTGTGGGAAGTTTGCCCCAATTCTGTCGTTGTTGGGGTTCAGAATGCTCTTTGATTGTAGGTGAACTGTAAATCCCAGCAACTACAACTCCCAAATGTCAAGGTCTATTTGCCCCAAACTCCATCTGTGTTCATATTTGGGCATATGGAGTATTCGTGCCAAATTTGGTCTAGATCTATAATTGTTCAAATCCACAGTGCTCTCTGGATGTAGGTGAACTACAACTCCCAAAGTCAAGGTTAATGTCCACCAAACCCTTCCAGTGTTTTCTGTTGGTCATGGGATTCCTGTGTGTCACCTTTGGTTCAATTTCATCATTGGTGGAGTTTAGAATGCTCTCTGATTGTTGGTGTACTATAAATCCCAGCAGCTGCAACTCCCAAATGACAAAGTCATTTTTTTGAGTGATGGTCGCTCCTTGGGTTAGTAGGTGTCTTGTGGCCAAATTTGGGGGCAATTCGTCCAGTGGTTTTTGAGTTATGTTAATCTCACAAATGAACATTACACTTTTATTTATATAGATGATATTTGTGCATAAGTCAGCCTTATGTATAAGTCGAAAGCAGGTTTGGGGGCCAAAATTATAGGGTTTGATAAATCTCATGGATATGTTTCTAGATTTATACATGAATATATAGGGTACTGTTGCACACCTTAAACACCACACGAGTTGAGTAAAATCAGCAAGCAGTTTATTGAAGAATATTTGTAGCCAAAGCAGTAAAAAGTAATCAATAGTAAAAGTTAAAAATCCAGTTTGGTCCATCAGATACAAAGGAAAACAGGAATAAAGAGTCAATAGAAGTCCATGAAACTAGGCACTTAAATCCATAAGCAACACAGGAAGCAAATACCATAGGCAAATATGAGCTTGGCAAACCTCAGAGCAAAGGAAACTTAAACTGGCATTATCCCGATATTGCCTCAACTGAAACAACTGTCTCCCACAAATCATTATTAACCTTTCCCTGATTCCAAAACTGCATGGAACACGTTCTTTTTTAGTTTTGGTTTGTCATCTTTCTTCTGTTGGATCCGAGCTGACCTCCTTAATTGCTGCCCAAACTGCCTCTGTTTACTAAAATTTCTCTTTCTGTTCAAGGTCTCGCTCTCATTGGTAACTTCTGCACCTGGTAAATCAAAATCAGCTTCATTCTCAGACAGCTGCTCAGGGAACAGTGGGGAAAAGCCTTTCCCAGGCATGCAACCTTGAGAATTGTCTTGCAGCAGTTCAGACCTCTCTCCTGAGCTCAAATCAGGCCCAGGCAACCCCTCATTACCAAATCCACCAGACCCTGGCCCAGGAACCGGATCATCATCCGCATTCCCATCATGAACATCGACATGAACATCATCCCCATTCCCATTAGGAACATCAACATAAACATCAGACACAATGACAGGCTGAACAGGCTGATATACAACAGGTACATCAAACTGACTCAAGAACTTGATCCAGTCATAACTGAAAATAGGTCTTAAGCCACATGAAATGGTGGCATGTACATAGCATACTCCTCAAGTTATCAGTTGACTTGTGATGCCCTCAGGAATTTCCTAGAGTTTTAGGCAAGGAATCCCTCAGATGTGTTTTGCCATTGCTTTCCTCTGAAATGCAAACTAAGCACCTAGTATACTTTCACAATTTCCCTCACAATATCAACCATGGCTGATCGTTTAGCCTTCATAATCAGATAAGATCTGGAGCCTTCTTTTTGCTGTGTGCATTCAAGTCATTTCTGAATTATGAAAACCCAAATTGAAGCCATCATTGGTTTTTCTAGGAAAGCATTTTTTTCCAGAGGGAATTTGTCTTTGGCTTCCTCTACATCTAAGAAAATGCAACTTCCCAAAGATCACCCAATGGGTTTCCATGGTTGAGCATGGATTGAACCTTGATTTCCAAAGTCAACACTCAAGTCATTACACCATGCTCAGGAACTGTTAATTGGTTACATCTGTGGAACTTTCCTTAACGTAAAGATAAGGGTTTACCCTTGACATAGTCTGGTCATGTCAGAGTCTGGGGGGGGGGGGGGGGGGGTGCTCATCTCCATTTCTAATCCAAAAAGCCTGCATAGACATCTCCTAGGTCATATGGCCAGCATGACTGCATGGAGCGCTGTTACCTTCCCACCAGAGCGGTACCTATTAATATACACACATTTGCATGTTTTTGAACTGCTAGATTGGCAGAAGCTGGGGCTAACAGCAGGAGCTCACCCTGCTCCCTGGATTCGAACTACCAACCTTTCAGTCAGCTCAATATTTTAACCCGCTGCTCCACCGGGGGGTCAGCTTAAGCAACTATAAAATGGATACTGATTCATGAATATAGATCGTTGAACATTTGGTGACTCTCCTTTATTTATTTATTTATTATTTGAACTTATATGCCGCCATTCCCCTGGGGCTCGGAGTGGCTTACAAGAACAGGCTAAAATCGAACACAATTTAAAACAATTTAAAAACAATCAGAGATCAAAGGCCCGTCGAAAAAGATATGTCTTTAGTGACTCAATGCCAAGAAAGTTCTGAAAACTTGGCCACATTCCGAAAGTGCAACATCACATAAAAGATTTAATCTATTTTTTTAAAATTCTGCTTTGCCAACAGAGCAGCACAATGGGAAGGTTTGAAATGCTTGACAAAGGCCAACTTGATACGTAAATTAGAGACAATAGTGAGTGACATTTTGCCACTCTCTTATGCTCCCTCTGAGAATGACTTTTCTTCCAGCGCTAGATTGCGATTGTTAATTTTATTAACACAGGTCTGTTCAACAATAATTTCTGAACTGGCATTATGAGATCCCGGGTATTAATTCCCAGCTGTTCTATTGACATAGCTTAGAAATAGCTAATGTACATTTCTGATGAGCAATTACAGTTTTATCTTCTAATCCGACTGCCTCTCACCTGGCTAAGGCAATTTATAAAATAGCTTTAAAGTTGGATTTTAGCTTAAAGGGAAAAGGCAAACTCTTTTTGCTCTTAGTTGTTCTCTCGGATTCCATCTATTGAAAAACACACATTTCTTCCACAATCCTAGAGATTATAAAAATAATCATTTTTTCCTTGTTCTTGATGAGAATGTTCTATTGGCTGCCGATAAGCTTTGGGTCCCAATTCAAGGTGAAGGTGATTACCTACAAAGCCCTAAATGGTTCGGGTCCAGCCTATCTTTGCAACTGGTGCAAGCGCTAAGATCTGCCTGGGAGGCCCTCCTCTCGCTCCCACCTCTATCTCAAGCACGGTTGGTGGGGACGAGAGAGTGGGCCCTCTCGGTGGTGGCCCCCCGTCTCTGGAACTCTCTCCCCAGGGAGATTAGATTAGCACCTACTTTGTCCATTTTCCATAAAGACCTAAAGACTTGTATGTTCCAATGTGCTTTTGATTAATCTGGTCCACTAGAAGATATAATTTAACAGTGGACCCTAGCACTTCATTGTTATCTCTTCCGTTATAGTGCACTCTGCTAATTGATCTGATCCCTCTAGCCCTTATCAGGTCTCTGGCCCTTGCATCTTAATATCGTCCCCATCCCGGTAGTTATATTGCACAAGCCCTTGCCTCGGCCTTTAGTTCTGAGCATGCCTGATGTGCTCGGCCACTTTTTTTTTTGTCGTGTCAGGATCGACTTGAGAAACAGCAAGTCGCTTCTGGTGTGAGAGAATTGGCCGTCTGCAAGGACGTTGCCCAGGGAACACCCAGATGATTTGATGTTTTTATCATCCTTGTGGGAGGCTTCTCTCATGTCCCCGTATAAGGAGCTGGAGCTGATAGAGGGAGCTCATCCGCCTCTCCCCGGATTAGAACCTGTGACCTGTCAGTCTTCAGTCCTGCTGGCACAGGGGTTTAACCCACTGCGCCACCGGGGTCTCCCTGCTCGGCCACTGATTGTTGATTATGATGGTAATAACAATAATAATAATAATAATAATAATAATAATAATAATAATAAATAAATAAATAAATAAAACCACCATGTCAGACTACACAGAGAAGCCATTGAAATCCACAAGCATGTGGACAATTTCAACAGAAAGAAAGAAACCATGAAAATGAACAAA